GATTTTGTTTTTGTCTTGGTTCAACCACACCACTGAAAATCCTTGATCAACGCATCGTTGCCGATGTCGCGGATCTCGAACGGTCTAGTGTCGGCCTAGAAAGAAAAGCATACAATCTACAATAAAATGACAATGTAAACCGAACCTTGAGTGCCAGAGAAGGGACTCGATAGAATCGAACAGCGAAGCCGGCACACACAGCAAGCGTGAGCTCATCCTTTGAAAGCTCCAAAATCGAAACTTTCTCCAGCTCCACGCTCGCCAAGCATTTCTCACTCACAGAAGCAGGCTTGGGTCCGCTTGAGAGCTCCAGAACGTCCGCCGTCCTCACGACTCCAAAACCTACAGTGGAAATATTTAGATTTCGCGAGAATGATCGACCGTACCTGCTGGTGCGGCGAAGAACGTCAAGCCGAAGTGATTGGACACTGCAAGCGCTCGCGCTGGATGATAATCAGAGCTAGCCTTCGCGCCAGGCGGCAGGAGCGACACGCCTCCACCGATCGCCCTGAACGCTATATCTACATTCTCTTCGGGCGCCTCGGCGACCTCCATCTCTACCATAAACCCTAACCCGAAAAAACAAATGCGCACGAGATTTGAACCTTGACAAAAGAATGATCAAGCCGTGTCTTTAACGTTTAATACAATCTTTCGCTTCGCATAAGAAGTTTCGAGTTTTCCTATTATAAGTATTGTGCTATTGCTCTTGTAAAACTCTGAGCATGTCAATTATCACAACAATAGTCCTCCTGAATTTCATACAATTTTTAGTAAGACAGCAATTCCTATGGTTTGCAAAACATATTTACATTTTCCTTGGTGTGATCTAGGTAGCAGCAGACAATGAGATCTTACACCATCAGAAAACAAGTGTGAGAATCCTTCAAGAACAGTGTGGCGGCATTACTACTTCATGTACTAAGCTGGAGTGGCACAATCTCCCAAGGCAACTTCAGTATATTTGCAAGACCGACTCGGGCCTTGATTCTTCAGGCTGCATTTCACTCAACCCGTACCTTGGCAACAAGGATGGGACAATTGTTCCAGGAGCACTCTTTCTGAGAACCTGTTCTGGGACTTATATCACACCTTCAGGAGTTTTGATTGTGTCGTGCAAGAGAGAAGACGGTTCTTGGAACAATAATAGAGTGGACCTTAATCCTTACCTTTCTAATATCAATGGGAACATGGTTTTTTGTGGTAGATAAAAAAAGGAGAGGTTAAAGACAAAAATAATTGAAGATTCTAAACCAAGATATTTTGGTTTTTATTATAAATATGTCCATAATACAGTAAAGTTTTCCTGATATTATATCCTATAAAGAAACTGCACAATACAAATAAATATGAGAGATTTGAAAATACATATATATCTTACATATTATAGATACAATACAAAGTTTAGATTAAATCCTAATTATATTTTTATTAATAGAGATTATGTCTATGTGAAGAAATAAATTAAGTAGTTTTTAATCTTGTTTAATATTATTTATAAGAAATCTTGAGACTTATAGTTATTTTAACTGATTAAAAGTTAATATTGTGACAACTATAGGTAAAATTGAAACTTACTTGAAACTCCAACTCACTCAGTTGAGGTTAGGGCAGATTACCATTATTGAAGTTTGTGGTCTCCATCTGGGTGCTAATGACCCTATAAACATATAATAATAATAGTACTTGGTATGGTGCAATCCATTGATCAAGTCAATAGATTAGCCACACTTAAAGACAAAGAAATTTCACTAACACTAGATCACTTTGGTGGTCTGGCAAGGGCAATTCAGCCCTATACCAGCATCAGCATATAGATGTGCAGAATTATCATTGAGAAAGATAAAATTTGTAGTTGAAATGACTTAGATCTGATTGTTGAACGTTTTTGTGCCTATATAAAAGATTCAAAACATATGTATATTGTAATGCTACAAAACACAATCTAAATCATACTCCAAAATTTGGATGGTATGGAGTTGTTGGCATCAAACCAAATAACAGAAGGATGGAACATGTGAAGAGTGTAAAGTCTTAATAGAACTAATGTGAACACACCACTAATCAACAAATGGGAAAAATTGCAAAGTTAAAGTCCACCTAATGCTGTTGATTTATACCAAGAAGACAAACATGAATTACTTGTATTCCACTAACTCATATCTATAACACTGGAAGTGCATATTGTCAAGGCTAAAGAATACAGGAAAAGAATATTTTATGTTATTCTAATTTTGACATGCAAAACATTACAGTCCACCATCATGTTCTTTATTATATCTTTGTGCACAACCTCATCTACTATCATACCCCATGCACAAACATATATATGCTATGACTTATTTGCTAGTTAGCTATTGAAGAAGACCATCATCGGTCCTTTTCATTACAACTTACAAAACAATCAAAGGATTTGGCATCTCCACTAATGAGAAAACTCTAAAGATAAGGAAAATGCTTTTATATAATTAGAAATTTACATTGAACTAACATGGAATCAAAGATTAGTATAGCAGCTGCCTCCTCCTCCCAGACTCATCTTTCCCTTCCATAGGCCCCATATGAAATCTTCTAAATTGTTTCCATTCTCAAATTTATCACTAGTATTGTGCTCCCTTCTTTGACATACTTACAAATTTGTTTTATATATGTAATATAAACAAGAGTAGTGGCAAGGTGCCACAAGCCAAGAGAAAAAAGATAGTGGTGGAATGAGGAAGAATCTCAACCAACCAGGATACAAGGGTGAGAATCATAAGACTCATCTCTAGGTTAGGATGGATTAAGATTTACGAATTGAAGCTGTAAGAACCTTAGTTTCTATATTTAATTCTTATGTAATAATATGAAATAATCTAATATAGTGACTAAGGCACTAGGAATCCTCACCTACAACCTGTACAATATTGATGCTACTATGTGATTAGTCAACTTACAATATTTGAGCATATACATTACTAGTATAAGGTTAGAAATATTCCTATTTATGCTCTTAGTTATCACTAGGACAAGGAAACTAATTCTATTAATATGATAGTAGAGTGGTTCAAACTAAATTCCTACTATAATAATGCTGTAATAAGGATTGCCTAGAAAAGAGATGGGTGATAAATCTAATGGATCCAAACATGACAATATTGGTGAATAATGTTGTGCATGGTTGGATACAATCATTAAAATTACATGAAGGCTTTATATTTAATTGATAGTTATTAAAAAAAAATTAAATTATTAATGTGCTTGTAGGGATCTTGGTTTTTAGGGTTCCTTGATGTTTTTTGAAGCTTTATAGATGGAGTAGAAACTTAAGAGTGCCGACCCTTTATCTCTTCTTTGTTGTATGATGATGAAGTTGCTCACTACAAGCAAGTGTGATAAGCTATAGATTGATCAATTGTGTTGATTGATTGATTATTAATTCATCAATGGCAATTTGTTGGCGGGGCTGTTAGATTCAATAACTACTGTCAGTCAGCTCAACTACCTGGCTGCTGTACATGGTGTCACAAGGTGTGTAAGGGCTATTTCATTTGCGATTTTGAGTTGAGAGGGCATTGCAGTGAGGTAAGAAAAAAGTATATATATATATATATATATTCTATGGTGAAATTATGTAATTTATAACCCAAGTTTTATACTGGATGAGCATATTCCCCTATATAATTATCCCATCAACTAAGAATTTAACTTTTTAAATTCTCAATAATGGCATATCTACTTTTCTTAAACTACCCCCTCAAGATGTCCTAGATGGTTTGGCACAATCATTTCTCTCCAAGAGAGTATAATAGTGTGGGAGGTGGTAGAGAGTGAAATTGAATCTCTTGCAGCTCCATGTGGGAGAAACTCAATCCTATCTAGAACTTCCACTAATTAATAAGAGTTTACCTCTTCTTTTCCTTTAAAGCAAAAAGAGATTGTTTTGGCAAGGGAAGGGTCCATGACACTAACATACTTTGTGAGAGGGTTACTCAATAATGATTGAAATATTTTACAAAGAAAATTATCAAGAAATAGCCTAAGATCAACTATAGCAATTTGGAGAAAGCAATTTGTGGGGCTTGTAAAAGGGAGCTAAGACTTTTATTCTGTATTTGACATTACAAGTTATCAATTCTTGTTTTAGAATTGTGTGAGGTTCATAAAGCTTGGAAAATAAAGTGGCATTTACATATGACAATTCATATATTGTAGCATAAACTTGAAGAACATTTGCTAGTAGTAAGTCTTATGTAGTAATAGTTGCTTAGAACTTTCAACAACAGAATCAATCTTGAATATTGTTTGAATATTAGATTTAACATGATCCTAGGAGCTGCTGTGACCATATACTTTTTTCCCAAAGAAAATGAGTTTATATTTTGATGATACCAAGAGCTCTTTAGAAAAAGAGACAAAGAAGAAAGAGTCTAAACAACCCTTTGGGATTTCACTAATTGAGGCATGGGGAGTTTGTTGATCTAGATTAAGGTTGTCATGAATGTGATTGCAAGTATTGAAAGTTATATGTTGGTTAGTTATTTCCAATATTCTTTCCTTACTACCACGATGTCGGGAGGTTGATATTGTTGGACCCTTTATCAATCTCCACATAAGTTAATTGAGAAACTAGTTTTTATGTGTGCATTTGATCAGATGAGCATAAGGACAAAATTCTTAAGTGCTATTAGTTAAGCATACTTGACCTGGTTAGAGATACTCATTCATTGACTTGCACTTGTTAGTGTTAGGAATGCTCACAATATTGAGCTTAGTCCCTTAATATTTATTAGATAATACTTACCATGTTTGCTAAACACCTTTGCTATCATGCACCTTATATTAGTCATGTTTGATCCCAATTGTTATTTATGGAAAGTGTGTAGACTGCTAGTTGCTCTAAGCATGGGTTTTTGGGGGATCTTCATAGTGCAAAAATGATGATAAAGCACTCCCTCTAGAGATTTGTTAATTTAGCATATTTACAGAATGTAAAAATTGTCTTAAACACAATAATGTTGATTTTGTGTCCAAATTCACAATCTAATGTTATTCCATATTTAGTACGTTTTGAGTTAATCCCAAAAACTAACTCTTAGTACTAAGGGTGACTAAGGGTGAAAGCCTAAAGCATGCATTTCTCATAAGAGGGTAGGGGGCTATAGGGAGTTCCAAATGTATAGTAGGGATAGTGGATAAGTTAAGTATGGTTGACCAATCTGAGGCATAATCTAACTCCCACCTATATTATTGTTTTGCATTTGGTTTAAGTCTAAGTCAGAGTTCCATACCATGCTAGTTGATGGAGTATTTATATCCTCACATTAAACCATTAATATACTAAAATAGTGCTAAACTTAGTTTGGCTTTATTTTGCATGCTGGTCCTGGCATTTGGAAGTTGGATGGTCTAGTATTATTTTTATATTGCTTCATACTTTTGCCCCTTCACTCATTAGGTTGAATGCTCAAGAGTCATTTCATGTTCTAGTTCTTTTGCTCTTTAGTTATAAGTTTGGGAGTTTGGCTCTAGTTTTTCATTTAGTGGTCTAAAGCCCTGAAACTTAAGTTTCGCA